GCCAAACGGAAGACATGCATAGGGCAAGGTATGAAGGGGGTAAGGGGGGACTGTGGAGTTTCCATGCCCTCTCTGGGCACGCCACCCTCCCAGCACCTCGATGTATTCACTAACCCAGCAGCTCTCTGAATCTCATCACTTAGAGTTTTTAATGGAGGTTTCATTACACAGGCACAGTCGATCACAAGTCATTGCCAAGAATAACCAACTCAACCTCTGGCTCTTTTCCCCTCGCAGGAGGTTGAGGGGAGGCTGATCCAACCCTCTAATCATGGCTTGGTCTTTCTGGTCTATCTAGGGGTCCTCAGCCATCAGTCATCTTATTAGCATATAAAAGACACTCGTAGGAACTGGGGACAAAGACCAAATATTTTATATTATACCAGAGTCACCCTTTTCTCAGAAATCTCCAGTGGCTACCATGATAATAGGGAGAGCCCAAACTTTTCAAGGGGCCTCTAGGCCGGACACAACCTCACCTCCCATGGTTCCTGCCACTCGCAAAGGTCCAGGCTGGTCCAACTTGCAGATTCCCGCCTCTGCACCTCTGCCCCACCCTTCTGCCCTCTCACATTTGTTCTGCCCTCAAAACATTTCTTAGGATGTCATTTCGTTTAGAGATGTGAGGAACCTCAGAGATGAGCTGGTTCAAGCCTTTTATGTTATAGATGAGGAACTACTGACTTAGGGTGGTGATGCCACAGCCCCAGATTATAGATTATCTCTCAAAAGGCAGAGAAATAGTAATCTATAATTTGCTCTCTGAATTTCTGCTGAGGATAAGCTTCAAATTAACAAATTTTACTCATGTAAAATTTTCAAAAACACAAACAAGGCAAGAAAAGATTAACTTGACTACAAATGATTAGATTTATGTTCACTGAAAGATACTATAGACAAAATAGACATAATCAGAAGACATTTTTAATGTTTAAAATTGATCATAGATCAATACCTAGAACTTCTGAAAATCGAGAATAGAGCAAACCCAATTTTTAAAAAAAGAGCATGAAATTAGGTACGTGGAAACTCAAAAAGTCAAAAGATATTGAACTTACATATTGATTAGAAAAATACAAGATCAAACAATGATGTCACTTTATACCTACTGGAAAGCTGTGTACAAGGTATGGGTAAGAATGCGGGCATTCACATCTACATGGAGGTGGGGTGGGGAAAGTAGAAGGTTCCAGTCACTCAGGAATCAATCTGGCAGTCCTTTTTCAAAGTATGTATATAAATGCCTGTGACCTGTAATTCTGCCCATGGGTATGGATCCCAAAGACATCCCCACTGGCAGGACCTGCAGGAGATTATTCAGAGCAGCATATTTGTGAAATCGCACCATATTTTGTGTGATCTCCAAGTGGACCATCACTGGGGGACCAGATGGTAAAATCTGTGGAGATCTCCGAGGAGCACGATGCACAGTGTACATACATACATGATACACACAGAGTGACAGGGACAAATCCTACAAACAACCAGCGTAGGACAAAAGTGAGAAACAGAATGAGCTGAGTAATAGGAAGAGTTACATGATTTAAATAAGAAAGGTTCTGCAAGTACACACAGAAACAAAACATCAACATATTAGAATGGTTGCCTATGCAGGAGGTGGGGACCTGACTAGTGGTTGGTCTTCTGTGTGAGTTAAACACAGGTGCCCTGGTCCCCACCCCAGCTGTTAGTTCTAGCATCTCAGAGCAATTTGTTTAGGCTAAGGTTGCAGTCTTTTGGACAGAAAGTGGGCTTAGGAGCCAGGGCCTCAGAAGCAGGACCAGCTAGAGAGGTGGCTGTCCTTCACTACCAAAGCTATCATCCTCACAGCACACTCATCTCAAAGACGAGAATGTCACCTCTACAGATAAATCCCTTTGGTTTTGTGCTTTGCAGAGATTTCATAAGTCTGCTCAATGAGCAAACATTAAGGATAGTTTAGACAATGGGACTTAGAAAAAAATGGTGGAGAGGGTTAGGGTGGAGGAGAATGGCAGACTGTGCCAGGCTGACAGAATCAGATAAACTGATTCTCTTTCCTTTGGGAGTGGCAGGGGAGGCACATGGAACTAACCTCTACTGAGCACTTACTACAAGCCAGTAAGGCTTGTAGTAAGTGCACATGGAACTAAGGCTTGTAGTAAGGCACATGGAACTAAACTCTACTGAGTAAGGCTTGTAGTAAGGCACATGGAACTAACCTCTACTGAGCACTTACTACAAGCCAGGGTGCTGGGGAGTTTTACATTTATTATCACATGTATTATTCACAAAAATCCGACGGGTGGGCGGGGTTATCCCTCCTCTCTTATAGTTAGGGAACATGAAGTCAGAGAAAGTAACCTGGCCATACTTATGCTGTAAGTGCAACCGTGCTGTCTTCTGGCTGCCTCGGGGGACTCTATTCCTTTCACTCAGACAGCAACACCAACCAGAGGCTTCTGACATCCTTCCTCCGGAGTTTTCTAGCTATCAGTGGGTCCAGGGGGTCTCCAGGCTCACCCTGGGGCCTCCAGAGTTATCAGAACTGCTCCCGCAGCTCTCACTGGGATGTGGCAGGTCTAGAAAGTCTATACCTCCTTGGAGGCTCTTGCTGGAGGGAACTTCTGGGGGTTAAGATAGATTCTAGTTAATTCCTTTTTTTGCCTTCCACACCCTCGAGTCCTCAGACTTGGCTCCTCTAACTAGAGAACTGGATATGCCCCTCCACACTGTTTTCAACCCTGATCTGAATCTCCAGCTTCCTAAGATTTAAGATATGGTGTGCGGCTGGGTAGGGTAAGGGAACCTTTATAGCAGAACATTAATTAATTCCCCGAGAGTGGTATAATATAAACAAAATGACAGTGAAAAATCTCTGTGAAACAAGAATATGGCACAGCTAAAGCATTACAAAAACTAATATTTTATGCAGGTCAAATCATGTTTGTCGAACTCCAGAACTGCTCAGGGTGAAGTTCTGCGCTATTAGGAATGTGGCTATCAACCAGCTGTACCATTGGAGCTCTCCTCCTTTTCACTATATAAGTAGCCTACTTTTCTTCAAGCCCCACTCCAATTACTCTGAGCAAAATTTGAAAGAACATAATTCCATCCAACAAAGAGTATTCTAAACATTTCCAGTGGTGATGGGCTGTAACTTGCAGCAGATTGTCCCAGCCTCACCCAGAGTCCTGTCATTAATACTCGATAAGATGATTAACACAAGCTCAATTTGACATAAAGAGGAAACATTGTTATTAGAGAAAACTAGGAATTCACTTTTTTTTTTTTTTAAACACCAAAAAAGGTTTACACAACTGTGGAGAAAAGGGTGTGGCAAAAAGAAAAGTTTATAAAGTGGTTTATTTGTGAAATCAAAACAAATTCATGTAAGGTTTACTCTACCCTTCTGTGGAGGAAATGAGACGTACGCTAGTAACAATTCAATTCAATAAATATTTATTCTGCCATTACCGTGTGCAAAGCATCAGACAGACCAAGCTGTGGAGATACCAACATTAAGAGGCCACACAGAGTTCTTGAGATCCATGTTTTTTTCTGTAGACTCCGAGGCTGGTGAGCCCTGGAGATAAACTCTGGGACTCAGGGCTCCCTCAGAACTGCTGCTGCTTTGAGCAGTCCTGCTATCCTTAAAACCAACAATTGGAATGGAGAAGAGCTCTCTTCTCTGTTTTCTTGTTGGAGAAAAAGAAACTAAACAACTTTACCTTCTTATCATCTTTTCCTGTCCTCCTTTCTTTAAGCTTCCAGAGGGAAAAATAAAGCATTGTTCTTTGGTGACCTCTGTGCTCTTCTCAAAGTGCACTGTTAGCCCTCTGCATCCCAGCCTGGACCACACCTCTCCTTCCCTTCCACATGCGTGGACTTCACAGATTTCCCTGTATCTTTGCTCTGTTCTTTCTCTTCTAAAGCTCCTAAGATTTCTTGTCCCCGGTTTCTCTACAGAATCTCCTCACTCCAGGATTTTACACAGGGTTAAACTTGGGTGGTGGTTTGATTAAAAAAAAAAAAAAACCTCCCAAAAGACCACATATATGTTTTGGTTATACTTATTGTTGTATAAGCCCTCTCTGCTCCTTTCCTAAAATTTAGTCCGACAAATAAGGCATTGCCTTTAACAGAGCATTGGGGAGCTTGAACTTAAACTCTTGCTTGTGTTTTAAGGGTCCCTGGTCTTTTAAGTTGGATTCTTCCTAAATCTCAGCTGCCAAACTGCTTTTATTGAAATCCTTTGTAACAACAGTGTTTCGGCATTTTGGTCTTCTCTGGAAGTTTCTTTCTTTCTTTTCTTTTTTTCAAATTTACATCTGGTAATAGAAACTAACATTTTATAGAGGTCGTACTATGTGCCAGGCAACCCTCTGAGGTAGATAAAATTATTATCCCCTTTGAATAGAGGTTGGAACTGAGGCAAAGAGAGAGTAAATACTTTGCACATATAAGGTAGCTAACCTGGGAATCCAACCCAAGGCTGTGAGCTTAATCAAGGTCAATTTCCAGGGTCAAAGAGATCTGGAATGCACACTTACCAGTGTCTCCCTCTTTTGAAGCTGGTAATCTGGATAATGTACTCAACCTTTGACCCCAAGTTTTCCCTCCAACAAAACTGAGATGTTCTTCGATAGAATAAGAGTAAATGAGAGAGACGCGTGATGGGTCTACTTGGGTCCCTAGTACGGGATAGTTGCCAATGTTCCCACGCACCCCAGCGGAACCCTCTCATAGGCAGGACTGGGTTCTGCTCTTTTAAACATCCCATTTCATAGTGGGGGCCCAACAACATCAGTACGTCTAAGACACATCATCCAAGAGATTTCTGTGTCTGCATCCACATGGCACATTGGCCAAAGAGAGTTTTGCTTTCTCCCCAAATCGCTCCCGGTCCTAGGCTTGCCCCGCTTTGCCGTGCTATGGGCTGCTCCTCCACCCCGACTTCTCTCTCGATCCGGACTCTTCTTCCCGTGCTCCCGAGCCTCCCGGGCCGGCCGCCGACTTACCATGGCATCGTAGCGTAGGGCGTTCATAAAGTGCGCCACCTCAGCGCCCTTGTAAACTGTGAACCAGATGGTGCCCTGGTACTGGTCGCCGGCGTCGAGCAGCAGCACATGGGGCTCGGAGCTGCGGATCTGCTGCACCTTGGTGTAGAGCCGGGCCACGCCGCCTACACAGCGGCTGGCATTCACGCACTTGCTCGAGTCCTCGCTAGTCTGCTCCAGCCGGCTGTGCACGTCGTTGGTGTGCAGGATGGTGAGTTCCCAGGAGCCGGCCGCCGGCCAGAGCAGCGCGCCCAGCGCTG